CTGCCAAGGACAGAGAAACCCACACAGTGATGGGGCGGGTGTGGAGGGCGTCCTTGGTCAGCTGTGCCCTCCTCCCAGCTGAGGATCCAGATGCTAGCCTGGGGTGGGGGCCTGGGTGGGTGAGCGAGTGTTTCCCACGCGCTCACAGGTGCGCCGCGCTTGGTCCCCGTCACACATCTGTGCCTAACTTGGCTCGCAGGGACATCAGCCTTCTCTAACTTCTGCTGTCTGCCTCCGTTCCCCTGCACCCACAGCCCCGGCCTGCAGCCTCCTCCCCAACCTGGACCCAGATTGAGGGTGGTGTGGGTGGAGGTGCACACAGGACTGAACTTCCTTTCTTGCTGCTGTGCCCCTTGCGGGGGAGGTGGGCTGGGGGCACAGCAGCCCTGTCTGGGGCAGCACAGCCTCGTTCTGACCTGGAGGCCCAGGCTCTGGAATGCACAACCTCTTGCCACCCCCTCCCTCGGACAGGGTTCAGACACCAAGCGCCTTCCTTTGTCCTCAGCCTCCTTTAATAGGCTGGGGCAGGGGTGGGGAGTGGCCTCTGCGGAGGACACCCCCCTGCGCAGCCACAGTGGGACCCTGTGACATGCCAGCCCCCGCTGTGATGTCAGGGACGAGGGAGCTTCCCTCCCAGGGCTGGGCGGGACAGATGGTGGTGATGGGGTCCGAGCGGGGAGACCCTGCCTTCCGGGGCTCATCCTGGGAGTGGGTCTGAAGGAAAAGCCGGTGCCAGGTGGGCAGTGGCCGCAGCCCCACAGAGGGCAGCATATAAATCCACTTTTGCTTTGACGGAGGCAGACAGACAGACAGGTCTCTGGGGTTGTCCTTCAAGCCCCACAGGTCTTGGGGCTGAAGAGGGAGGCTGGTGGAGGAGGAGAGGCAGGTCTGGGAAGGCCAGGGATAAGACAGGGCTGGAGGTGGGGCGGAAAGGGGGACCCTCGAGACCCGAAGGCCGGCTGGGGCCTGGGGTCCCGGTGGAGTCAGGTCCCGGCGAGGTAGGGAGTGGGGTTAGTGCTGGGCTCTGCTCTGTGACGGCCCCGCCTCCACCCAGCAGGAGACGCAGCCCTGCCAGGCCGGTGTGGAAACTGCATCCTCAGGCCTAGGCTGCGGAGCGGCTGGGGAATGTGATGAGGCTGCTGAACTGGCCCGGCCCGGCGGGAGAGGGCCCTCCTAGGAGGGTGGGATGCAGCCGGCTGGCCACAGCAGCTTCCCAGAAACAGGGCCCGGCTCCGCTGGCAGAGGCTGGCTGGCAAGGCATAGACTGCAAAGCCAGGCCCAGGGCTGGAGTGCGGCTCACCGTCTGGGGGGAGGGCGCCCGAGCGAGCGAGCGGGGAACCTGCCAGTGCGCAGGGGTGCCAGGGTGTGCGGGGGGCACATCCCAGCCAGGATGCGCTTCCTGGAGCCCTCCACCGTGCAGGGGGACTTGCTGAGACCAGAGGTGCCTGGGACAGGCCAACAGAGGTGGCCAGCAAACGCTGCCTTCCTCCTCCAGCAGAGCTCCTGCCCAAACCTAAGGTCACTCAGCAGCAGGGAGTGGACGAGCTGGCCTTCTTGGCTTGTCTTCTACTCAGTCACCATCCGGGGCCTTGTTGAGCCTCACTGTCCCCTCTATGACGGAAACAGGTCCTGGCCTTGCAGGGCTGCGGTCTTCAGAGGCCATCCAGCTTGTTCAGGGTGGTCTAAGGGCTGTGATCTTCAGTAAGGGGACGGTGTGAGTTGGGCATGACTGAGACAGACAGGTAGTAGGTGTTCAGTTACTTGATTGCACTGGTCAAGGTGGTGCACACCTGTAATCCCAGCACCCTGGGAGGCTGAGACAGGAGGATCGCCAAGGTCAGGCCCAGCCTGGGCAACTTTAACAACTTAGCATGACCCTGCTTCAAAATGAAGAGTGAAAAAGTGACTAATCTGCCTCCCCATGGCTCCACTAGGCCCCCAGGTGCCCAAAGCCCAGTCCTTCTCCCTTATTTATCTATTTATTAACCAGCTATTTATTAGAAGCCTCTTGGGTGCCGCACACCGTTCTGGGGAGGGGTGTGCAGCCCGGGTGCAGAAGCAGGGGGCCGGAGCCATGAACCCCAGCACTCCACGGGGCCCTCATTCAGTCACTTCTGCTCTGGCAGCTTCCATTGCACCCCAGGCCCACCCTAGGCCCTGGGTCTCAGCCAAGGGTTTTCCTCTAGGATTGGCTAATTAATTAGGAAATCTGAGGCTGGTGCGGGTGAAACTGTTTTAACTTGCTGCCCAGACCGGGAGCCTGGAAGGCAGAGGGCAATTCCCACCCTACACCCTCTAATTGCTGCCTCCACCTCCTCCAGGGCTCTGCTGGGTGCATCACAGGGCTGGCAGGGCAGCTGCAGCTCAGGGCCCAGGGAGGGCTTGGGAGAACTAGGCTGGACAGGAAGTTCTGCTTGGGGTGGGAATAAGAGCAGGGGCCGGTATGGGCCCAGAGGTGCGGGGGCTTGACCTGGTCAGAGGCCACCCGGGTGTGGGGGGAGGCTCAGCCCCATGCATGGAGGCCTGGAGCCAGGTGTGGCCAGGCTGGGCTCTGCTGAGACTTTTCTCCTGTCCCCTCAGAGGATGCCTGCGTGACCTTGGCCTCATCGGGGAGGGTGGTTCCTTCTCCAGGAAGCTGACCCTGCTCCTCCCCCTTAGCCTCGGTCCTGGTTCATGGTCACTGCCACCCCCCAGCCACCCATCTCTGTGGCCTGAGTGCTGGCCTGGCTCAGACCAAGGGACAGACATTTGGGGTGGGGGACAGAACAGAGCAGCAAACCATTTGGCTTCCCAGGGCATGGGGCAGTGTGGCCTGCTGCCTCAGTTTCCCCAGAGCTAGTGCTTCTCAGGCCTTCTCCAGGGAGGTGCCCACCTCCAGGGAGGTGCCCTTTTTATTCAGGGCCTCTGTGGCCTAGGGGTAGACACTGAGTCTGAACCAAGAATTGGGTAGCTCTGGTAAACTCTGTAACATCCTTGGCCTCCAAGTTCAAATGTATAAAATGGGCTAACAGACATACCTACCTGGGAGGGTGATCAGAAGCCCTCTTTGCTTTGTTTTTTTGTTTATTTTTGTTGCTGTTGTTTTGTTTTTTGAGACGGTCTCACTATGTAGTTGAGACTGACCTGGAACTCACTATATAGCCTGGGCTGGTCTCGAACTCACAGCGATCCTCCTGCCTCAGCCTCCCAAGTGCTGGGATTACAGGCATGAGCCACCACGTCTGGCCAAGTTGCTCTTTCAGGATGGCTCCCTTCAGCTGCTTGTTTATTTGTGGTGCTGGGGATGGAACCCAGACCCTGCACGTGCTAGGGGATTCCTCTACCAGAGCCCCCACTTGTGTATATTTTGAGTACTTCCTTACTCTTTGGAACATACAAGATGCTCATGAATTTTTCCTGCCTCCGACACAGAATCAGCATGTCTTGAAGGAGTCCTGGTACCTTCTATTGGAGAGCAAGGCTTAGGAACCGAGGCCTGGGCCCGAGTGTACTTGTTGCTGTAAGGGTATCACTGTACTCAGGGTCTCTGAGTGACAGATCCAACTCTGTTTAATCTAAAGTCTCCCTTCCTGCTAATGGTGGGTCCAGTAACTGCAGACTGCTGCCCACCATCCTCTGAGCCTGGTACCCAAAGGACTTGTCAGCCTCAGAGCCCCAAGGATGACCGCGCCTGTCAAGGCTCACAGGGAGAGAGCACACAAGCGCCCACCTCCGCCTAAGCTGCTCACCAGAGAGCATCGGCAGCTCTGGAACAGGACTTGGGCCTGGACCCAAAGTGTCTGCCCTTGCAGCTCCGTTTTGTATCTGTCCCCTGTGGGACCCACAGCTCTGTCGGTGGTGGTGGCAGAAGCCCTGCCCCAAGCCGCAGAGTGACAGTGGCCACCTGGGCCAGGCCAGGCCAACATGAGGCACCAGAAAGGCCCGACTCAGCCACCGTGCCCAACACACCGGGCAGCTGGGCCTCCCCTCTCATTACCCAGCCACACCTGACGGGGCATCTCACCCCGGCTCGGGGGACCCAGCAGGCTTGCTTGACACCCAGGCCAAGCAGAGCACTCTCCCTGTTGGCCACATCTCCGCTGTCTCCCGACAAGTCCGGGCTGGAGGGGCTGAGTCCCCAGGTTGCTTTGTACAACATGTATCTCCCACGCCCACCCCTCTGTGCCTGCCACTCTTAAATGCTCCTAGTTAAGAGGCCTCAGCCTGGGGTCACCTCCTCTAGGAAGCCTTTCTCCCAGGCCCCGGACCACCTCTGCTCACTGGTCCTTGCCTAATGCCCTGGGCTCAACGCCTCTGAGCCCCACAGTGAACGACCTGTGACAGCAGAGGCTCACAGCTTGACACTGGGATTCTGGCTTCCACGGAGACCCCTGCTGTGTGACTTTGGACAAGTCGCTGTGCATCTGAGCTCTGTCTTCTCAGGGGCGAGCAAAGCCTCACTGAGATTCCTGATCATACTTTCCCAGTCCTGGCCTCAGCCCTAACTTGCTGTGAGCTCTGGTCACGGGGCCCAGCCTCAGTCCTCTTCTGTGAAATGGGGCCACCCATAAAACTCCTCACCGTTGCGGAGGCTCCAATAATCCAGAACCTGTGAGGAGCGACTGTAAACCTCAGAGCTCCGTGTGGGTGCTGGAAGAATCCATTTCAACAGCTCGCAGTCGTGTGGGAGGGACAGGGACAGCTGCTCTGATGGCCTCCAAGTGGGACTGGGCCTGCTGGCCCAGGGTGGGCTTGGTGGGGCCTGGCCTCCACCTGCTGCACCCTGCCAGGCGACACGGGCTGTCTGCCTGATGCAAGGATCTCTGTCTAAACTCTCAGGGTCAGGGGAGCCCTGCACCCTCAGGTCACTCAGGAGGCCTCTCAGAAACCTTCCCTCTTCCCCGAACCAAGAGCCAAGATCAATTTGAGCCATCTGCAACTTTATTCCAGAGCAGAAATAAGTCATTTTCTAACAATAAATATAAAAAATAATAAATTAAGGTTAAAAAAACCCAACAAAATAAAACTCATTAACACTGACAGAAGTCATCTAAGGAGGCGGAGGTGGGTGGGCGGGAGAGGGCAGGGCCTCCTGCAGCACCGCCCACCCAGCCCCGGAATGTCTGTCCCCCGCCCTGGGCCCCCACACATACATTCTCTCCACAAAGTACAAAATGTACAGTTAAAAAACCTAAGCCCCGCCCCCAGCCCCGGAATGTCTGTCCCCCGCCCTGGGCCCCCACACATACATTCTCTCCACAAAGTACAAAATGTACAGTTAAAAAACCTCAACACAACCAAGCAGCCTGAGAGGGCCCCAGGAAAGCAAGAGACTGACCCAGGCCCGCGAAAGACAGGGCCTGGGGGTCTGAGAAAAGGCACTGCAGGACGGAGGTCCGCTCTGGGGCTCCGGTAGCCCAGTTCAACGTCCGCCCTCTTGTCTTGCAGGGGTGAGGCCTGAGGTACCCTATGCGCATGGCCGTGGGCTGAGCCCCCATCTTCCAAGATGGCTTCTCCCGGAAGGGAGGGGAGGTCAGTGTGGAAATGTCCCCTGTGCTGTCACTGACCCAGCAGGGCTCCTGCCCCAGGGGGTGCTGGGAACAGGATGGTACCTGCTAAGTGCTCAGCAGGGGAAGAGGCTGGGCCCAGCCTCCTGGAGGTCCCGCCAATCCAGGCCACAGTGTTACCCCAGGGCTCCAGCAGAGGTCTCAGTGTGGTCCACAAGGAGCAAATGGAAATAAATAAGGTCCTTGGTGGTCCAGCGTGGAGTCGGCGGGAGGGCCACTCTGTTTCTTCAAGTATTTTTTTTCAGGGGGACTCGAAGCCTGGTGCGCGCTCAGATGGGGATCCCCACAGTGTTCACCTGGTCCTTGAGGCCCAGCAGGCTGTAGGCGATGCGCTTCTGGTGGCCCGGCAGCCGCACCCCGATCCTCTTGATGTCACTGTGGGGTGAGAGGGAGAGGGAGAGCTCAGGGCCGGAGCAAGAGGAAGGCCTGGGCGGCCCGGGGTGAGGTGCGAGGCTGCAGGAGGGAGGTGGGACAAGGAGGAGAGGGGGGCAGGGAGGGGGCCTTGGGGCCTGAGGGGCGACAGCGCGCCGGCCAGAGGCCTGAAGGGGCCACATCCTAGAAGCTTGCGCAGACGGCCAGCCGTCCAAAGTTAGGAAAACGGCAGACGCATTCACTGGGAGTTCCCTTCCCTCCCAGTTGAATCTCACAGTTAACTGTGAAGTAAATGGTCATCTCTCCCTGACACTGCAGATCAGTGAACGGAAACTCGGGGCGGGGAAGTGACTAACCCAAGGTCACGGGGCGGGAGGGGCCAGAGCCGGGAATCAGCAGCTGCCCCTCCCCTCTTGCTGGGGAACTGAGGCCCCTGCCCGACAGCTTCCAGGGCCCTCCGGGGGTGTTGCACAGAGACCCCACCCAGGTCTCTCCCTACACCGGCTCCTTCCGCCCTCCACTCTCTCCAAGTCCCCAGCTGAGGAGGGTCCCGAAGTCCTCGCTGAAGGGCCAGCAAGGGTGAGCGCTCCGCTAGGACCTAGCAGGTGGGGCTTTAGGGTCAGGTGAGTGGGTTCCGGTCTTCCCCTGCGGGACCCTCAACTTCTCCATCTATAAAGGGGGCGACGGTGAAGCCTAAACCACCTCCCCCTCCGCAAGAGACAAACTGTTCCTTCCTCATAAACTGTCCCGGGGGCTCTCCTAACCACAACATCTTTCTTTCCAACCGACAGACGCCAGCGCCCTGCTCCTGTGCCCTGATACAAACACAATTTCTGTTGCCAGAAACCATAAGCATTCACTTCAAACCTCCTCTCCGCTGGTTGCTCTGTTCGTTTCAACCTGGGCCTCTCCTGACCTAACATCTGGTGCAGACACCCCGGCACGCGACGACAGGCCCCTTCCCTTTTCTGCGTCCGTGCCCCACTCTGCAATTCCTGGTCCCGTCACTGGCGGTGCGCCCCCAGCCTGCCCACACCCTCTTCCCGGGGCGGTGAGTGCGAGCGGTGTGGCTAGGTCCTGTCTTGTTGCTGCTGGGGGTGCCGCTGCCTGAGTCAGACGTGCAGGTCCTGGTGCTGGGCCCGACCTGCGGCCACTGGGTCGGGGACAGCTAAACACTGGTGGAAAAATCGCTTTTCATCTCCCCTTTCTTGGCGTCTGCTCCCCAAGAACAGGATGCCCGACCCTCGAGTCAGACTTCCGCTCTTCTGAGGAGCACCCTCCGGCAATCGAGACGGGGCTCCCCTTTCTCCCCCACGCCAAGGGTGTCCCTGCTGGGTGCCTTCCAGCCACTCTGTCTTCCCTGGAGCGAAAGGGACACATTGGCCCCCAAATTAATCCTCTGTACCACGGCCCAGTTCCGACACAGATTAGGTGAGGGGCTCTTAACCCACCCGATAACTTCCCCACCACTCTGGAAAGTGGGAAGCGGCCCCTATTCAGGCCTTTCCTGCCCTGCACACTTGGCCGGCCCATCACTCTGCTTGTCCTGACTTCCACCTCCCCGCAGCCCAATGTAACCCAAGTGTCCCCTCCTTGAGCTCGACACCCCCTTACCAGGCTTGGGCTCTCAACACCCCCGGCCCTGAAGCCCCCCCGAAGGCTCCATCCTGCTTTAATCCCCCAGCCCTCACTGCCACTCCCCAGCTCCGACTCAGCCTGATGTCACCACACAGCCTCTCTGAGAGGTGGCCGAACCCAAGGGTCCCACCTGGGTCCACATTCCCTTCTCCCCGACAGACTTTTCCCAATGTGAAAACCACTCAGGCTCTTTCTCCATGAATCCTTCCCCATACTTCAGAGTTCTAGGAGCTGACTCGGTCCTTCATCCTTACTTGGCGGGACATTCACATCGCTCTCACTAGTACCTCTCTTCCCGAGGAGGGGGACAGGGTGCGGCAGGAGGCAGGCAGCCAGGGCAGCAGAGGAGAAACAGGCCAGGACACCACCATGGATTCTAGGGAGAGGGCAGTTCCCAGACAAGGTCCATTCTGGGTTAATGACCCCAACTGTGGACACTGGACATGATGTCTGGACTTCGCAGTCCTTGACCAGGCAGTTCTTAAACTGGTTAGCCGACAAGATCAGAGAAGTCCACTGGGGACCTGATAAAAATCCAGCCCACTGCCTTGCAAACACAAGTTCCTGAGTTTGATCCCTGGTACCAGAATAAATAAATAAGTAAATAAAATTAGGGGCCGGAGATTTAGCTCAGAGGTTCCATTGCCTGCCTTGTAATCACAAGGACCTGAGTTCGATCCCCGGTATCAAAAACAAACAAACAAAAAATTAAATTAAAAAAAAAATCCAGCCCATTCATGGCATGGTTCACTGAGGACCTTGAAGTCCATACCCGACTATTTCCCCAGTCTTCTGAGGCACAGCTTTTTCTTAAACCCTACTCCATCTCCTAAGCATCCTCCGGTATCCAAGTCAAAGTTTGAGGATGGGCCCTAGATGCCCACAGAGACCTGAGGCTGGCTGCCTTCAGGGTGTTTCAGGGCAAAAGGAGCAGGATCTGGTTGAAAAAGAAGCACGTACCAAAAAAGCCAAGTACCAGCTCCTAGCCAAGGTTCTCATACCAAGGCGTCTTCTAAAAAGCACCCCTTCAACTCGGGCCCTATTTTTAGTGTAAAAAACCATACTGGGGCACACGGTGCCCTAATTCACACACACTGGAGAAACCGCGCCCCTCTGTGGTGGCACTCGCTGGAAGATGGCCTGTCTGGGCTGCCATCCTCTCCTGGTCCCTTTCCCACAGGCCCTTGGGAGCAGCTCTCCACCAGCCCATGCCCCCCCATCCAAATAGCCCAGGCTGGCCGGGGATTTAGCACAGTGGTTCTGCCACCTGCCTCACAAATAGCTCAGGCTGACTCTCCCAGCGAGGAATACATTCCACTGGATCCCAGAAGAACCTGAGAGCTCAAACACTCCCGGGGCCAGCCGAGAGCCAAAATATGCTTCACCAAGTGTGGGCCCGGATGTAAGACTGTTGTTACTGATTGGATCTGCCATCTGGGTCATCCACCCCACTGCCAACACAACCCAAGACCCAAAACTGACCTCAGGGCTTCAGGTCTCTCTTAGCCTCACTTCGTCCTTTTCACCTTTGACCTCCTTTCTAACCTAGGGTGGCGCCCCCTCTTCTGGCTGTGCCCTGACAGACACCTGTACCTCTCTCATAATGAACTATGGCTCCGAAACACTTTCTGAGAGTTCCCCCCTCTCCAAACCCCATTGTTCTGCTTCTAACTGCTAGTATAAACTCACCAGACCAACTACCACCCCTGAGGTAGAGCTCTCCATTTTACATCCTCGCCTCAACCCTTCCCACCCACACGAACCCGGAGCTGCTGGCCCTGCCTCTCCCCTGCTGTGGTAGCCACTGCCTTTCCACATGGGCCTCCACCCGGCTGCAGATGACGGTGTCCCGAGCCCCTCAGACCTTTGCATAAACGTCTCCTCTCAAACACCCAGACTCCTCGAAACCTGCAGGAACTCAAGGTCTTCGGTAAAATTCCACCCTCGCCATCTACACGTGGACTGACCACGTGGGCCTTAACGTTCCCAGCTCACCACTCACCTCCGTACAAGGGAGCTGTGAAACAGCCCAATACTCCGCCACGCGGATGGGCAACTCCCAGTACAAAAATCACACCAAACTGCCCAGCTTCTACGTTCAGACCCCGAGCAAACGGTTCCCAAGTGGAAAAGCTACCGTGCTCAGCTCATACACAAAAGAGGACAAGGCTACTCCCAGCGTCTGGGTGAGAAAAAGCTGACTCCTCCCTGATAAGCAAAACAGAGTCAAAACAGCCACTGATTCCCTTTCAGCCCCTCCAGGGGAAGCCAGGGCCGTCACGCTGGGTGTGACCCCACCTCACACAATCACCAAGGATTCTAGGTCCTGGGTGGCCTCGGTTTCTCCGCCTGCCTGACCTCCAGCACCTTCCTCGAGATAGACCTCTCCACAGGCATAGACACCAAAGGCACCTTCTTTCTCTGTGGCACCTCAGCACAGCACAGCCGGTCTACCAACCGGCCAGATGTGTGGACATAAGGGTCTCCACCCCCCACGTAGACCTGGAGGGCTCCTGGCTGGGCCAACTTCCGGTCAAGATGCTGACCTCTCAAAAACAAAAGAGCAATCCAAAGTATCCCCTTCCGATGGGACTGGTAACAACGGCCAGGACCAGCAGAGCGACAGCAGGTCTCACCACATCACTAACCTCCTGCAACCCACTCTCTCTTGACCTCACTGATAGCCTGAAACGGACATCACAGAGCCTAACAGGTCTCCAAAACCAAAAAGATTCCTTGGCTGCCGTGGCCCTCCAAATCCGTAGAGGCCCTGATGTTCTAACAGCCAAGGAGGGAGCTCTCTGTTCTTGGAGGATCAATGCTGCTTTTTCGCTGTCTGGCATTGTGTGAGATGCTGCCAAAAAACTCACAAAGCCTCAGAAATCCAGCAACAGCACACCGAATGAAACGCGCTGGTTCTCCTCACTGACCACGAGGGGGCTGCTGCCCTCCCGGAAGCCCTCAGTCGTGGTCTCTGTGTCACCGTTCGCTCCTCATGGCTTTGTCCAGAGCTGATCAGTGTGCTGCGCACTCCCCACCGCCCAGGTGCTGATAAAGCCACTATCCCACCCTTACCAGACCCGGCCCCACCCAACGCCAGCCTCTCTCCTTGACAAGGACCCCACTCAGCATGAAGCAGCCTCACCCCTAAAAAGGCGGAGTTGGGTGCCTGAACCTCCCATCTCTGCACTCCATGAGACAAACTGTTCCTTTCACATCAACTGCACTGGGGCTGGCCTCCTGTTTACACCCCAGGCCTAACCGTGATACCCTTCTTCCCAACCGACCGACCTCAACAACCTCCTTAGCCTGGCAACAACACCTCCCAGCGAGAGACCCATAAGGGACTGGTCACCCAATCCCCACAACCTGGACCTGTACCCCGCTAGCTAACGCCCTCCTCCCACACCCCAATAAAACACGCTTCCGCTTTTGTTCAGGGCCGACTCCTGGACTTACGATCCAGGTATATGTCGCCAGAGATAATAAACTTCCGCTTTAAATTTTCTTGTGGTGCACTTTCGCCACGGCTCTTTTCTAACCTAACAGAAACAGTGCCCTAGGGGAAGGTGTGAGACCCCCCTCAAAAAAAACCTTCAGCAGGGAGTAAGGAAACCGTGCCATAGAGTCCCGGCCTCCTCTCCACCCCACTAGGAGGTGTAGCTGCCCTGGCCTCCCCCACCACACCCTGCACCCCTCCGTCCTCTCATAAAACCACTTATGCTCAGGAGCCTGCAAGCAGGACTTTTATTGCTAACTTTGGGAGTCTTCTCCTCCACCATCCTCCCCCACCAGCCCAAACCTATGAAAACACCCAGGTTTTTATGGGCTGTCTCCCCACTGTAAACGGAGGTAATTATATGGTGCAAGCTCTATTTGCAATCCCGGAGACATGGCTTTCCCACAGGACGTGGAGGAGCACTGAGCGGGGAAGGCAGACCCAGGTGTGGGGATTGTCACTCCCATTGCAGCGGGAGAGCCAGCAGTTAGACTTTGGGGAGAACTTCCTCCCAACCACCTGAGTGACACTTCCCCCTTCATGGGTGACCCAGGCCACCCACCGACCCGGTCCTTGCAGGTGTGGCATGGTAATGTGGCGGGGTAAACACTATTCAGACCACCAAGGAGGAGCTACTCAGGAGCCCCTGGGTCCACTGAGGGACAAGCGTCAGGCAGGACGTGGAATCTGCATATGATGCGGTCCCAGAGGACTCTGAGGTTCACTTGAAGAACCACTAGGGCTAGAAGTAGTGGCCTACCCCCAAGACGCCAACACTGTAGGAGGCTGAGGCAGGAAGATCTAAAATTCAAACTCAAGCCAGATGTGGTGGTGCACACCTATAGTCCCAGCACTCAGGAGGCTGAAGCAGGAGGATTGGTGCAAGTTCGAGGCCAGCCTACAATCCATAGTGAGACTCTGTCTCAAAACACAAAAACACCCTAAAAAACAATTGAAAAACCCAGCCTGGGCAACTTAGTAAGGCCCTATCTTGAAATAAAAAATAAAAATAAAAAGGGAGGGGGCTGGGGACGTAGCCCTGTGGGAAGTCCTTGGGTTTAACCCCCAACACTACAAAAAAACCAAGAAAGAAATAAAACAGACAAAAAAAGAAAGAAACAATAACAACAAAACCCTGGGTTCTGGGAGCCCCAGGAAGGGAAAGGCCAGGAGACTGTCAGCCCCACCCTGCCCAGGCCCTGGGGCCGGCCTGGGACACACGCCAGGCTGAGCCCTGCCCAGGCCCCAAACTCACAAACTCACGTCAAAGCCTCGGAGGGTCTGAATCTGACTTCTCACCTCAGTGTCTTCCTATGTAAAATGGGGCGCTTTGAAGAGCTGCCCACAAAGCCCCCCAAACCCTCCCTTTCTTTCCTAACCTCAAACAGAGCAAGGCCCTGGCTGAGGGTCACAGACAGGCTGACGCTTCTAGCCGCCCTCACAGACCATCCCAGCCTCAGTGTCCCTTTCAGGGACACAGGAGTCAACTCCCTGCACAGAGGCAAGAAGACACAAGACGGAGGCCGCCTTCCTGTGGCCTGGTCTTCTCCTGAGCGCTCACAATGCCAGCCCCGGACTGGGGAGTCCCAAGGCCACCTGCTGGGTGCAGACCATGGTGCCAGGACAGAGCCGTGAGAAAGTGAGCCACAGACCACTCGCTCACCCAGCGCGTACCCGCCTGGCCCATGGCCTGTGAGGATGGCGTGAGACCCTAGGAGCCCACAGGCTACTGCAGGCTGTGGCCTTGAACTGGACAGGGCCTGATGTCGCACTGGGCACTTTCTTGGGGTACGGCAGCTCCTCAAAAACCTCAAGAATCACTAGCTTAGAAAGCCAGACCAGGTCCCAAAGAGCACAGGGATGCACAAGTCACGAAGAGGCAAGGCTGTGGGACCTTGGAACAAGCACCTGGGGAGAGATCCGAGAAGCGGGACACCGGCCCCCCACCTGCTGCAAGAGCTGAATCCTCCCACCACAGCCCCCTCTGGGATCGCGTGGACAACAGTGTGAAGAAGACATGCTCTGGGACCCCCAGTTCACAGGAGAGAGGAAGAGGAGGCAGCCGGGAGTCACACAGGCACCACTCTGAGCAGCAGCGAAAGGAGGGAGTCTGAACCACTTCCAGGCTTTATCTAGGCCCTTTCAAAACAACAAGGGTGCACACATAGCCTCTGTCCATCCCAGAGCCCCGTCCCCAGTCGTGGGAAAGGAACAGGCGAGGAGCACCCCAGGCTATTTCGGGACACTTCTGAGGACATGTGTTTCCTGTAAGCACTGGGACCAGAGAGAAGCAGTCAGCCTCAAGGGGAGCCCTCGGAGGGCCCTGGGACCCGGCCCAGGTTCCCAGGGAGAAAGGTGGTGCCCGGGGACTGCGGCCTGCGGGCAGGAAGCAAGGGAGCACGGAGAAGAAGAGAGCAACTCCTCAGCAGAGGGGCACGTCACGGCACCCACGCGACCTCCGCTCCAAGGGACGGACGCCGAGGCCCACACTGGACCCAACTGGGTCAAGCACACCTGCTAGGAAGCTGTAGAGGTGGCACCTTGAGCTTGGGAATGGCTACGGAGCCCAATGTGTGCCCTACCGCTGGCTGGCAGCAAGAGCTATCCTGGGACCTGTCTCCCCTCTCCACGTGCCCATCCTCCCTCTGCTCAGCTGTCCCTGCCGGATTCCCACCACCAGCCATCCCCTGGGGCAGCCCACGGCCACCGATCGAAGCCCTAGAGAATGCTCACGCACAGCCCAAATCCCAGAACTTCCGTGACCCAGAACCGTGAAAGGCCCAAGCTGTGCCCTCCCTCCGTGTGGCTCCCAAAACATCCCGGCCTGGCCTTGCTCCTGCCATGATCTTGGACGCTGTACAAACTGGGCTATGGGGATCCGTGGCTATTTTTAGAGGCACAAAAGGCTAAGAGGAGAATGCCTTCTCTCTCCAGGGACAGGAAGAGGTGGCCCTGCCAAGGGCTTGCCGGGAAGGATGGTAGTGCTGGAGCTGAGAGGAACAGCCCAGTGAGGAGCACCCAACAAAGGGCGAATCCAGGGCCACCAGGAGTAAGCAGCCCAGGCCGCATACAAGGCTGAAAGTGGACCAGGTAGAGATGCCCTGGTGCAGCTGGCAGGGCTCTCTCTGTCTCCTGGGCATCAGAAGAGCATCCGGGAGACAAAGCTGCCCCAGCTGGCTGGGTAAGCTCTCAGCCCATTGCTCTACCAATGGCCTCCACGGTGTCTTTGCTCTAGGCCCTGACTGCCCGGGGCCGGAAACCCACTCTGCCCTGAGTGGCTGTGGGACCCTGGGCAGGTCGGCACCTCCTGTGCTCCTGTCGCTCACCTGTCCCAAGAGACAGTCACAGGCCCTGCCCGCCGTCCTGCTGGGGACTGATTCTGAGTGCTCCCGCACACAGCTGGCACACGGCCAGCCCTCCCTAAATGGCAGCTGTGCCATTATTACACTTACTGTTATTTTCCCACTCTGGAGAAAGAAGCAGGAAGGGAGGGTGCCCGGAGCTGCTGGCCGCCGGTCTGGTTCTGCCTTTCCCCTGAGCCTCCCAGACAGAGGGAGAGAGAGTGGGCACAAGGCAGGAAGTGAGTCCGGACAGGTGCTACTCACTCGCTGGTCATCTGCACCACCTTCTCAATGGCGGTGTAGCCGGCCGTCACGAAGTGCTCTGTGTACTGCTGCATCTTGATGGACTCCAGCCACTCGGACACGGTGCGGAAGGGGACGCCCTCCGAGCCGCTGGTGCTGGGCAGCCGGATGGACACCCTGCAATAGGAACCGCGTGCTTGCGGATGAGGGGCTGCCGCACCCAGCCCACCTGGCCCCAACCCCGCTGCGCCCTAAGCTGGGCTGTTTATGCAGCTGCCTGTGCCTCAGTTTCTTCATCTGGGCAGTGGGGAGGCCTGGCCAGGTAGAGCTCAGGGAGACCACCCGGCGTCATCCCTACTGCTGCTCCTCCATTCCTACTACAAGGCAGCACCGGAACCCCGAATCACGGAACACAGCAAGCACAGACTCAGGGACCTGGCCACTCGCCAGTCAGGAAAGGTACTTAACCACCCCGTGTCTCAGTTTCTTCGTCTACGAGAGGGGATAATTACAGGACTGTCTCTTGGATGTGAAATTAGTTAAAACATGTTGAATGTTGACCCCGGGGTGGGGACGTGCACCAAGAGTTGGCTTGTCCTGCTACAGGGACCGCGCCGCCCCCTGTGCCGTCCCAGAGCAAACCTTCTGAGCCCCCTTGTCATCCCGACTGCCCCCAGCTGTCCACTATATCACGGCGGCTCAGGAGTGCCAGAAAGGAGCCAGGGTCACACGGGCAGGGGACTCACCGGGGGTCAAAGTCAGCCAGCGTCTTGAGGGAGTTGGGGGCACGGATGAGCTTGTCGAGGATGCTGACGATGTCCGCAAACCTGGGGCGGCGGGCGCGCTCCTGCTGCCAGCACTGCATCATGAGCTGGTAGATGGCCGAGGGGCAGTCCATGGGCGTGGGGAGCCGGAAGCCGTCGTTGATGGCTTTCATCACCTGGAAGGGGTCCGGACGGTCATGGCAGGAAGCAGTAAGAGCTGTGAACAGAGCCCCGGAGGGCCCCCCGCAGGCACAGAGGTAGGAGAGGGAGCCCCAGAACAGGATGACCCCTTACTTTTCTGTTTTGTAGTCCTTGGGACTGGACCCAAAACCTTTGCCTAAACTACCTCCCAGCCATTTTATTTTTTATTTTGAGACTCGGTCTTGCTAATCTTTAAATTACTCAGGCTGGGCTTGAGTTTGCAATCCTCCTACCTCGAATGTAATCCCAGAGTGTTGGGATTACAGGCTTACATGGCCACGCCTGGCTGTGTCCTCAGCTGTCCCTGGGCACCACGGAGGGAGGGACGTCTGCCCTCAGGGTCCCCAGGAACAGCCGCTACATTACGAGCCCAGCGGCTGCCTCTGGATGCCCCCTGGCCGTGGCTCTCTCTTCCTTGCCTTCTCTTCACCTGGCTCCTTCCTCTGCTCTGGGTCTCAGCAGAGATGTGACCTCCGGGAAGCCCTCCAGCCTCTGGCCTGCATGAGGCCCAGGCACTTGGGCGTACACGTTCCCATACATGTACGCACGAACACACGGATGCGCACGCCCGCTCCCCGTCCGACGGAGTGGAGCCAGGAGCGCTGTGTACCAGGTGACGATCAGCCCCCCCGGCCCCGCTGCCCTGCCCTCAGGGTAGGAGAGGAGTAACGGCCTTTGGTCAGGGCCCGTCGGGAACGGGTCCCACCTCATGGTTTGACAGCTCCCAGTAGGGCCGCTCGCCGTATGTCATCACCTCCCACATGACAATGCCGTAGCTCCACACGTCGCTGGCTGAGGTGAACTTGCGGTAGGAGATGGCCTCCGGGGCCGTCCAGCGGATGGGGATCTTGCCGCCCTGCAGAGGACCCAGCCTAGTCACCAGCGTCCCCTCCTCCGCGTGCCCTCCAAGGTCCTCACTCCAAGGGTGCAGGAGAGAGGTGGGGGACAGTGTGGCGGCTTCATCCCCGAGCCCCCCGTCCCAGTGACGACGGCCCCCCCGCTCACACTGGTGGTATAGGTGGCCTCGGGGTCGTCCTCCAGCACGCGGGACAGGCCAAAGTCAGACACCTTGCAGACCAGGTTGCTGTTGACGAGGATGTTGCGGGCGGCCAGGTCGCGGTGCACGTAGTTCATGTTGGCCAGGTACTTCATGCCCGCCGCGATGCCCCTCAGCATGCCCACCAGCTGCAACACGCTGAACTCGCCGTCCTCCTCCTGCCAGACACGGGTCCTCAGCCGTCAGCAGAGCCCCTGGGCCCCCGGCCCCGATCCTGGCCTGCCTCCGACCACTTCCTTACCCGAAGGAACTTGTCCAGGGCCCCGTTCTCCATGTACTCTGTGATGATCATCATGGGTTTGTCTGCCGGGCGTGGCGCAGGTGTGAGTAGGAGGGGCGGGGCAACAGTCAGGGGGTCCCAGGGCAGCCCCCATCCCCCTGTGGGCCAGGGCCCCGCCCAGCCTCACATTTGGAGATGACGCCCTCCAGGCGGATGATGTTGTGGTGGCTGAACTGGCCCATGATGCTGGCCTCGCTCAGGAAGTCCACCCGCTGCTTCTCCGTGTAGCCGGCTTTCAGCGTCTTGATGGCCACGGGCACCTCCTTCTTTCCCGAGGACGACTTCAGCATTCCCTTGTACACCTCCCCAAACTCTCCTGTGGGCAGGCAAGGTGTGGGAGCCCCTCAGTCAGGCCAGGTGACCCCAACTCATGCACCCACCACTACCTGCCTCTCAGGAGGACCAGCCTCACCTGCCCCGATCACCTTCTGCCGAGTGATACAGGACGGGTGGATCTCGGTGGTGAACTTGAGCACGGCCTGGTTGGGGTCTTCATATGTGTGGGGGTCCACGTACGTCTTCAGGGGCTTCAGTTGTTCTGCAAAGGGGAGGGAGGGTCACACAAAGCCCAGAAGGGGTCCCTGGGCAGGCGAGCCCGTGGGGTAGAAGAGGGAGGGAAGCCACACCATCAGGGTCCTCAGGAGTGTGGACTGGGCTCTGGGGCATGGAGCTCCTAACTGAGCCCCTAGAGTGAAGCCTCTGAGTCCCATGCCCAGCCCTAGAGACAGCTGGTTGTCCCCGCCTCTGGCACAGACCCGGGGAGGCTTGGGGGGCGGCAACAGTAGGGACCAGCTTGCAGCAAGAGCTCCATCATACCTGACTTGGAGAAGTAAACGTCCTCTGAGGACTGGCGAGCACGGAGCCTCCTCCTCCTGCAAGACCCCAAGTGGACAAACTCAGGCAGTCAGTGAGGCCTAGGCTCAGCAGCAGCGCCTCCCGACACTGCCCCTGTCTGGGTGTGTGTGTGTGTGTAGGTGGATGTGTGTGGTGTGCTCAACCCTTGGCTCAGCATCCCCTGCCGGCCAGAGGGTGTGGGGCAGGCAGAGGAAATGAGCGAGCCAGGACTCACTCTTTGGATCTACGCCCCATAATGGCCCCATAAGTAGCCATAATGAGGGCTTTCCTCATGAGAGCTGCCCAGCACTTCCGGCTGCTGTTCAGATGAAGTGTGGACACAGCGTTACTAACAAGGGCAGAGAAAATGACCATCACAGCCTAGCCCACCGTGTGCCAGGCACTGTGCTAAACACGGACAGCTCATCCCAGCTGCACATCGCCCAGGAAGCAGGGATTCGATTCGATTCGATTTGAGTACTGTCAACCCATTTTCCAGATGAGGAAAGTGAGGTTCCTGGTCCTGTGTGTCCTACCCAAGCCTGGATATGGACTCTCTGACCAACCTTCGGTGGATGAAAAAGCCGATTCCAGCCAGCACCAAGAGCAAGACGGCACCAACGGCCACACCACCAATCACTGCCATGTTGCTAGATCCTTCCAAGGCTGCTGGGAAAGATCAGCTGATGACAGGGAGCCCCTCACCCAAATCATGACAACAACCCTGGCTGTAGGCAAGACCCATGTTAGGGACCAAAGACACCTGGGCACCTGCTGTGGGCTGAGTGCTTTGATGTATGAAGTCCTGAGGGCAGGGGGATCTGGTCCCATTTCACAGGCAGGCAGAGGGGGCCTTCCTGGATCTCACTTCAGGGATTCCTAGGCCTGGGGGACCCTAAATGCGAGCTCTTTCTGTGATGCACAATTTGAACTCAGTCCAGCCAAGCCAGAACCTACAGCCTCCCTCCTCATAACATGGCCTTTGTCCTCACCCTCCCAGCCCTCAATTCCGCCCCTCCTCAGCTCCCACGGGGCTGTCCCAGGTCCCAGCTGGCAGGGAGGTTTTGTTTCTAAATTCCTGGGCCCCTTGCTCCTCCCACAATGTCATGACTGCTGAGTCTCAGGGCCCCGGCCTGGTGCACATCCTGGTCCCCTACTTACACAGGGTCTGGAACTCGTACTCCTTGCTGCCAGCGCCCTGGCCTTCCTGCGTCAGTGCCTGCACCTGGACCAGGTAGGTGGTGTCCGGAGCCAGGTTTTTCAGGGTCACAGAGAAGCCCTCCGTGCGGTGCACATTGTAGCTGTTGGCATCCCCCTGTGTGTGCCAGCAAGCAGGGAGCGGGCAGTGAGGGAGGGGCAGGGGCCTCGGCTCAGCCCCCCACGCCCCTGGGGTCCCCACCAGCAAGGTTGCTCCTCTGGACGCTCTTCTCACCAACGAGGAAACTGAGGCTCACAGATGTGACTTGCTCAGCTCAGAGCCAGCAAATGCACCACTCAGGACCCCCGGCCCCTCAGTCTGACCTCAAGCACAGCTCCTCCCAATGCCTGCTGCACACTGCCTCAGGAGGCCCAGACCTGTTTCCCCAGCTACAGATAGGAGCCTCCCCAGTGCCAGACTGCTGTGGTGAGCACCTGCATAACCAGCCGTCCCCTGCCCTGGGCCCAGTGCAGCCTCGGTGAGTTACCTTCTTGTGGTAGGTGATCTCGTACTTCCACACGCGGCTCCGCTGTGGCACGGGGATGCTCCAGGTGACGGTCAGTGAGGTGGTAGTGCGCCCCTCCAGCCTCACTTTGGGGGGCTCTGGGTAGGAGAGAGGGTGAGGGAGGGGTGTGAGCACCCACTAGGGCAGGGGGACCAGTGGACCCAGAGCCGGCTGCCCCCACATCCCTGACTGACATGAGACCCCCTACCCTGGGTACTGGGAGTGGTAGTTCACGCCTGAAATCTGAGCACTCAGGAGGCTGAGACAGGAGGATTGTTGTGAGTTCAAGACCAGCCTGAACTGCATAGTGAGACTCTATTTCAAAAAAACAAAAAAAAGAGGGTATCCAGAGACCCTAGCTACAGACTCACCATGAGGGTTTGCACCCCATGAACACCCGCGAGCTCTTAATAAAAACTAAGGAACAAGAGGCCCCCACTAAGCCCTTCCCCAGACCAGGCACTGCTCTAAGAGCCTTAAATAGAATACTTCAGGGCCGGGGATTTAGGTCAGTGGTGCTGCCACCTGCCGCGCAAGTGCAAGGACCCGAGCTCAATCCCGGTACCAAAAACAAAGAATACTTCGGTGAACTATCCCAACAGCCCTGTTGTTGCTCCCACTTTGCAGGTGAGAACGCCGTGCCCTACACAGGCTCAGTAATAGTGCCGGAGTCACACAGCTCTAAGAGATGGTCCTTTCAACCAAGCTACCTCGGGACAAAGCCAGTCCGCCTCCACCCCCTCACCGAGTCCCGCCCAAGCAGGGACCCCAGGCCCACCCAGCACTGCAGCCACACCTGTCTGGTTGATGCTGACACTGGCCGTGCGGAAGCTGCGGCTCGTCACCAGCTCCGAGACACCGTTGCGGGCCTCGACCACGAAGGTGTAGTTCATGTGCGGCTCCAGGTCACTGACCGTCACGCTGGTGCGGGTGAGCGCGTGTGGCGGCTCCGAGTAGTGCACACTGGCCTCGCAGGGCCCACACTCGCCGGACTCCGGCCAGCACTGTTCGCAGGTGACCCGGTAGATGATGTCTTCACGCCCCCCAGTGTCCTGGGGCGGTGTCCAGCGCAGCTCCACCTTGGCACCCATGCCCAAGGCCGTGAGGTAGTGCGGGGCGGATGGGGGGCCTGTGCAGGGTGGAGATCAGTGCCTGTCCCCGTCACACCTCGTGGGCCACCCTCCCTGACCCTCTGCGAGACTCACGAGTGCAGGGCATGGACAGCGCGTCCTCAGGGGCCCGGAAGTAGCCTTCTTCACAGGCGCAGGAGGTGGCACCTTCGAGGGACGGCAGCGTGTGAGCAGGGCACTCCAGGCAGGGGCCCTCAGACGCCTGGGACTTGAAGAATCCCGGTGAACAGGCTGGAGGGCACAGGGACAGAGGCACACGGTCAGAGCAGTCTGTCCCCTCTGCAGGGCTGCTCCCAACCCCACTGTGGGACCTCAGGCAAGTCACGAAATCCCCATGGACCTGTTTTCTTGCTGGCTTGGGATGACAAGATGTGTGGAGAGCCTCTACGGGCTTCAAACCGAGACGCTGCTGGCCACCAACTCCCAGGAAGCGCCATGCCTGTGAGCCCAGCATTTTAGACCCACTTTCAGCTTCCTCGGAGAGCTAGGAGCGCCTGACTGAGCGCACTGCCGCCTAGGGTTACGACCTTGGCCTGGGGCACACCAGCCTGTCAGGTCCCCTTCTCCCTGGGGCAGCTCTGAACTGACCGTGGCAGAGACCATGTCTGCTCGGCTGTTGGTACTTGCTGTCTATCACCACCACGCCAACTGATCGGCCAGCTTTCCCAGCACAGGAAGCTCCCGCTGCAGGGGCTCCCCCAGCCCCAGGACCTGACCGACTTCCGGTTCCCGGGCTGGCCCACCGAGCAGCAGGAAAGGCCAGGCCCTTAGCATTTTTTCTGGACCAGGGATGAGTTATTTCTACCACTCACAGGGAAGCCAGGAAGCGGCCCTTCCTCCCCTGGGACCCGGTCCCTCCTGGCCCAGCTGGCCAGGAGCTCACGCACCTGACTCGGGGACTTCTCCCTCCCACAGCCCCATCCTGCTCCTGCCCAATGCCCTTCCAGGCCTCACAGGCAGGAAGCTGCTCAGACACAGGCACCCCGGGCTGACCAGGACTGGGTGTGGCCGTAGACACAGCCACAGTGGGGTCACCGTGGGACCTCTGCAGCTCTGCAGCCACCCCCAAAGAGCGGGTCCCACGGCACCTGCAACCTACTTGTCAAACACTTGCCTTCTCCTCCACCTGCCTGGTGCTGTACATTACCCTGGGGTGGTGGCAAAAGCCCCTGAACTCAGGCATAGGAAGGTGGCCTGGACAGTGTCTGTGATATCGGGATAGGTAAAGGACTAAGGGGATGGAGAAGAGGGAACTACCTTAGCCGAGGGTCCAGAGTCACAGAGGAGATATTCTAGCAGGGGTTTAGAGGCTCTGTAGGAGTTCAACAAAGCAGAGATACTGCGGGGAGGGAGTTGGAGGTGAAAGAGAACAACTAAAGTAAGCAGCTTTGGCACACAAACGGAGGCAGCTGCAGGCTAGAAGGCGATGGAAAAAGGCCTTGAAGGTCAGACCAAAGAGCTGAGGCTTTGTCCTGAGGCAATGGAGAACACATAAAGGTCTGAATAACAACTCAGACAGGTCTATAGATCGGGAAAAATCCCTGGACAGAGGCTGCCTAGGATCTGAAGTCAGCTTGGACAACCAATTTCAGGCGTTCTGGTCACCTCTGATCCAAGCCCCTCCTTGCACAGGGACAGGGAGTTAGGGGGAAGTGACCGCCGAGTCAGGCTGCATTCCCACCAGGGGCCCAGGGGCCCAGGGGCCACCCAAGCAGCCTCTCTCTGCCCATCCTACCACAGAGGCCCAGGGGGAGCCCTGATGCACCTGCGCCTGGGCACTGCAAGCACTCATCCCACGGCAGGTGGGGAAACTGAGGCTCAGAGAGGCTTGACCACCAGGTCTCCAAGCTACAGAGACGCAAAACCAAAACGTCCTGGACTCTGACCTCTCTCCTTCCCGCGGTTCCCAGGGACACTTCAATTTGGAGCACAGAGAAAGGAAGAAGGAGATATGTCCTGACCCGCTTCAGCAGCCAGAAAATTCCCAAACGGTTTCAGAGCAGCTCTTGTCAGAGCGGGCACATGTGTATCTAGGGAGGGGAGTGTGGGCTCCAGCCCGGGGCCCTTCCAGGATTAGCTAAAGTGGTCTCCTTCAAGCCTCCCGCTGGATCTAAGGAAACCACATTGTATTCCTCCCATGAAACCTGCTATACTACAAAAACAGCTCCCTCCTCCACCGGAGCTGAAGTAGGAATGAGACCTCACAAAGCCAGGCTGCCTCCCCAGGTGCCTGTCCCCAGAGGCATCCACATCCCAGGGCCCCGCACCCCCCCACCCAACGTACACATCAGGTCCCCACCGCCCAGCTGCGGTGGCTCCCAAGCCCTGCAGCCCAGTGCCAAGAGGCGGAGGTGGGGGAAGAGGTAGGCTCCATTCTCTGGCCCCAGAGCCTGGGGGTGGCCTGCCTGCTGCCGGCAGGAAAGAGGGAATTTGGAGAGATTTCCGATTCGGATGTGCCAGATGGATGATACAGCGAGGAGGAGGCGTCCACAGGGCATGTGCTTGCCTGTTACTCCTCATCCAACCACAGACCAGCCGCTCCCCGGCCTGCTCCCCCAGCCCCGACGTAGTTTGCAAATATTCTGAGGTCCCAGAAACCACCATCTGGACACCAGCAAGCCTCCAACCTGGCTGGATTTCTGGCATTCTGGGCAGGCAAATCGGGACCGGGGTCGTACACAAATACACACCCACATACGCCAAATACTTTATCTCTTAGCCAACCAGCAAACTCCTATGCATCCTTCAATACCCCGCCTATGCTCCTCTACACAACCCTCCCAGGCTGCCCAATTCCCCTGCGTTACATTAGGGGACCTAGTATTCAGTGTCATGTTTACCCAGCAGAACCGAGCACTTCCTACGACGTGTCTGGCAAGATGCTAGGCGCAGGGATGGGATACATAAGCATCTTTTCAGCTCCCGGGGAATTCACAGCCTGGCTTTCATGCCTCATTTGAAATGATTTCTGCACACAGGTAGATATCCCCTCTGTGAGCTCCGCAGCCCCTGGAGCAGGCATGGGGTCCAGTTTACTTGCATCCCACAGCCCAGCATATGCTTTGCAGGAAATTGGTGCTCAGTTAAAGGATGCGCAGACAGATGAATGAATGAATCAATCAACCGGCCGATCAATCAACCAATGGCGGTGTGGATGGCAAAGCCTGCTGCATGCAAAGAAACAGGTACCTCTAGGGCCACAGGAGAGAGCAGTATTCAAGTGTGCAGGGAGGCCGCTGGAGGTTGTACACTGAACACCCACCAGCCTCTGGCACACCTGCGGGGACAGCGTCTCCCCCTGGCCCCAGTTGCCTGGCAGGCCTGGGCCACTCCAACCTGGGGAACTGGGCCACGGTGGCTGCACCTAGGGCTGTACCCTGGTTTTTCCAGTTCCTGATGCCCGCTCCTCAGGTGGCAGCGTGGGTGACTCAGGGACAGACGCCCTCTGCATGATGCAAGTTCAGTCCCTGGCAGAGCTCCTCCCCCAGGCCCAGCCACCTCCCTGGCTGCAGGTGGTGAGGTCATGGGGGGTCAAGAGGTGACAATTCACCTAGGGCCAGGCACCTCCCGCCAGGACAGGAGGGTGACCTTAGGCACCACTGTGGCCCAAGCCTGGACTTTGTCTCTGTGCCCTGTAAGTTACTGACCTGCAAATGAGGGACCCTGGTAACTCCAGGGCCTGGGGACTTCTTCCTGCCATTCCGGCAGGAGGGGGCCGTTCCCAGGGTTCAATGGGGCAGGCAGGCAGCACCCTGCCCTGCCCTTTCACACACCCAGGGAGTGATCTGTGGGCACATTCCTCAGCCAAGCGTGATAAGCCCGCTCACCTCCCTCCTCCCCCTCCCTCCCTCCTTCCCTCCGGCCCCTCCTGCTCTCTCCCACCCCCAGCCTTTTATCTTCTGTTTGCTTTCCCTGCTGGCTTCCTTCCTTCCTTTCTCCCCTTCCTGGGACCCACTTACCCCAGCAGCTCTGCCTGCCTGGCTGCCAGTAGCTGCATTTGCCCCACAGTGAGCTGACAGCAGGGCAGGCAGAGGACAGAGGTCAGAGCCACCAGGATTAGCGCTGCCACCACAATCCCTGTCCCGGCAGCCACAAAAATAAGGCCAGCAGCATTTCCTCAAGGAGGGGATCAACAACTCACAGGGCCCCCAGCCTGGGGATAGGCCTGGTGCTGATGCACCAAGGATCCTTCCTGGCCCCGCATGTGACCACCGGGATCAGAGCCATGCCCTGCCCGGGAAGGCCTCCCCTTCTGCCGTGGACATGAGGCTAGGCCTGGGCCACTTGGTACACCCGTGCTGGGACCTCTTCTTCACCACACATGACGGCTAACACCGTCAACAGCTCAGACAGCCAGAGGAGAAAGCCACCAAAGCCAGGCTCTGATCTCCAAGGGGCAGGGTGCTTTGGAGCCACTGGTCCAACCCAGCCACTCCTTTTACAGATGGGGAGAAGGGGTCCCCCAGGGGGGTTCCCAAAGTCACAACGCTTGTGGCAGAAAGCACCCATGCCAGGGGAGACTGGGGACAGTGTGCTACCCTCCTTGTGCCATGCCCCAGCTCTTTCGGTTACTGTGTCCTCTGAACCTCCGTTTCCTCATCTGTGAAATGGGGAAAAGCCCTCCTGCTCTCCAGGACGCTCTGAAGACTTGAAGGAAATCGTGCTTGTGTTTAGCTCGGTGCTTAGACCCGGGTGCCCCTAAGAACCGGGGAGAGAGAAACCAGAGCCACAAGGGGATGTCCCCAAGGGGCTGGCTCCCAGCTGCTGGGCTATGCCTCAGGCCAAGGCTGCAGGCCACCTGCTCACCTGGCTGTGGTCTGCAGGGCTGAGGCGCCAGCCAGGGCCCCACAGCTTGGCTGCAGATGCCAGCACAGGAAGCAGACACAAAGCAGCCCCAGGGGACGGCAGTCGGCCTGAGTGACTCCACTGTCCCCTGGGCAGGGCCAGGGGCCTGGCGGGGAGGGGGCTAGAGGAAAGTGGGCTCATTCCTGACATAGCTCAGGGGAGCTCTGCTGGGCAGTGTGCCCACCTGTCCACGTATGGCACCTGGGATGCCACTTAACCCTTTCCTGAGCCCCGCCAGGCTCCCTGAGGAAAGCACCCAAGGGGAGAGAAACTGATGCGGACTTGGAGAGCTCGGGGGACAGCACCAGTGAAGCCCAGTGGGGGAACTGGGCTGACGGCCTGGTGAGGCCAAGCAGGGAAGCCAGCAGTGGCCTTCCAGCCACCCCTTCCTTTCCCGGAGCCCCCGGCCCCTGCACCATGACCCCCCATCCCGTGATCCGCCATCCCGGGGCTGCCCAGAGCACTGGGCTCAGGGCCAGGACCTGAGTCAGAGATTCCAAAGGAACTCACCATTTCCCACCCTGTTTCCCGCCCCATCCTGCAGCTCAGGTGCTGCCGTCTGGATTCAAATCCCGCGGTGTCACCTCCTAGCCTTGTGGCTGCAGGTGAGCCACACCTTTGCTTGAGCCTCAGTTTCCCTGTCTGTGCAAAGACACTAACAACCATCCCCGTCTTCCAGAAAGATGGGCAGACTCAACAGAGCAGCCTGAGAGAGCACAGGGAAAACACCAGTCCGCAGATCAGGGTCAGAGAGGGCCTTGGGGAAGTGCGAACCCAGCCACTCGGGAAGGCATTATGAGGGACCCTCGAGCCAGGGCAGAAGATGTCTGACAAGGGAGCCAGCTAAGTCAGAGCCCCCGCTCTGGGAACTGGTCCTTTCCAAAGAGGCTGCTCAGCTTTTGTAAACAAAGCCTGCCAGGATCCTGACCCCCACCTCCAGAGGAGGGGGCTCCTTCTTATCTCTGCAGGGCCTGAATCACCCGCTGTGGAAAGTTTTCCGCTGCCCCTAACTCCCACCCCCGCATTCCTGTTGGAGGATGTCACGTGGGAGGAGCCTGCTCGCCCGGAGGGTGTCCCCCCCACCCCGACCCAAGGGTCATTGTCTGAGGCTGGGAGTCTGCATCTGAGGTCACCGAGGCAGAGGTGGCCCAGGAAAGGGACCTCACTCAGCAGAGAGGAGCTGAGAGGGAACTTCTCCCCAGGTGTTTCCAGATGTGTTAAAGCCCAGTTCTAAGGATGTGCCCATCAGAAAGGGGTGTGGGGCCGGCCAGCGTTCAGCCCCTTTCATGGGGTGGCAGAAACACAGCGAAAAAGCAAGTGTGAAGTCTGCAAGTGACATGGCACCCTTTTTCATTTTACTCACAGGACAGAACGCCCAGAGAGGAAGGACTCACCCCAGGTCACCCAGCAGGTGTGCGCACCTGCAGGACCAAGCCCCCAGTTTCCCAACAGCCCGCCTCTCTCTGCAAGAAGTGCCCCGCGAGGGGACGAGCTGGCCTTCCGAAGGTCAGCCTGCATTCCTCGGGGCCCTGCCCCACAGCCCTCTCCAGAAGAGTCATCAGCTGGCGCTGTAGATTTCCACTGTCACAGGCCCTGGCCGCGCCAAGCCACAGTGTGAGGTCACTGTTGCCCAGGCCGCATTCCCAGAGAGAGTCTGACTTCATGGGCCCCGTTTCGAGGCTCAGTTTGCCACCAATAAAAGCTCCGATGGAGAATCCAGGTTTGTGGCCTCGGGGAAGATGGGGCAGGAAGAACAGAGCCTGCACCTCCCTCCACCACCCCCTCAGATGGGGGGTTCTTGTGCAGACTCTCAAGTGCAAACCCTGGATCCCATTCAATCTTCCTTATCAGAAAGGAATGCGAAGCCCAGAGAGACTCAGTGACTTCCCTAAGACCACAGAGCATGTCGCAACAGGACTGCAACTAGCTCTGTTGGTGCCACGCAGAGCTAGGAACTACTTGTGGGCTGAATCAAAAATCACAGTTGCACTTAAAGTATGCATGTGTCAGGCACTGATCTAAGCTTTTTATGAGTATTAAGTCATTGCATTATCACATCCTCCCTACAAGATAGATACTATGATCATCTCCACTTTATAGATGCTGAAACCCAAACACAGAGAACGTTAAGGGAACGGCTCAGAAATCACACAGTGCAAGGCAGAGCGGGACTTAAACCCAGGCGTTCTTTTCCTAGAATCTCAGCCCATCATCTCCATAGTAAACTCTTTCTAATTCATTTATTCTCAGTCTGGAGAATAAAGTCCAGTCATGACTTGGAGAATCCAAGTCATGAATAAGGAAGCTGACTCCGCAGAGGCCCAGAACCCCGAGGTGAGCTCACAGCCTCCCACCCGGGACCTCCTCCCCACCACCCGTCTCCGGTGCCCCAGGATCCGGCACGCACCTTGGCAGGCGTCGTCCACCTTCTCGTAGCCTTCCTCGCAGAGGCACTGCCCGATGGGCACCAGCCACTCGCCGTCCACCGCACAGTGCATGCGGGGATCCTCTCCCCCGGGCAGCACCACAGCGTGTGCCACACAGCTGCCGGCCACCGTGGCCAGGGACGGTGCGTCAGAGCCCGCGATGGTCTCAGGGAAGTGGGCCAGGCCCTGCACCAGCTCTGGGCATTTCTTGTAATAGACGCGGACAGAGAGCAGTGCCACGCAGGCCCCAATGTCCTGGAAGGCCAGGTAGAAGCCCTTGCGCGTGAGCGGCCCCACGGTGCGCTCCTCCACGTTCAACTTCACCTGACGGGCCTCAAAGTCACTGCTGCGGGTGATCTCGTCAGGCGCGATGGTGTCGATCTTGGTGAAATGGCGCTTCTGGAAGTTGGTGCCGTAGTCCATGTCCGACTCGAAGTAGTAGAGGTTGAAGGTCTCCTTGCAGGAGCTGGCACCTCCGGGGAAGCTGTTGCAGTCCCGCACGGTGAACTTGAGCTCGATGAAAATACGCTCGGCCTCACCGCGGTACACCCAGTTCGTGCGCAGCCAGTTGTCCTGGTCCCCGGTCACCACGTTGCACACCGTGTACATGTAGATGGGCATGTCGTTCATGATGTTCTGTGCCACGTCCCACTGTGCGGGATCGACAGGTTAGCGCAGGTAGGTACCAGGGGGAAACTGAGGCCCAGGGGGCAGAAGGGGGCACCGAGAAGATGTTTTTCAGCTCTTGCTCCTTCCCATTTGACGGGGAAGGAAACAGAGGCCTGGAGAGGTGCAGTCCCGGCAGTTGTACCAGGACCTGAGCCTCGGTCTTTCCGGCCCTCGCGTCTGGCTCCTGACTCTGTGCGTGACGCTAGGGTGGAGCCCGGGACTCTGAGTGACCTCCAGCAGGTCACTGAAGCCTTCTGAACCTCCAAGCCTCCATCTGTACCGTGGGGGACCAGAGCCCCTACCCCCCACGACTGCTGTGAGGACAAACGACACAGCGTCTACAGAGCGTCAAGCATGGAGCTTGGACAAAGTGACGGTCACACAAGCAGCTGGCCCTGCTACGCTGTCGTCACTCCTTGTCACTGTATGCCACGTGGCAGCACAGGAGTGGCCAGGAAGGGGTTAAGTCACAACAGCGGCAGATCCCCCATCATCATCATTTAGACTTTGGCTTTGGAATCATCCACACACATTCCTCCCCGCTCAGACACAGCTCAGCCTCTTCCGGGAAGGTTTCCCAGGCTGGGCCACCGCCCCCCTCGGCCCCCAGTCTCCCCGCCCTCTCGACCACAGCGCTTGGCAGAAGGTGCCGCCTATCCTGGCGCCCGTGCTAGATTCTGAGCCCTGGGGCCCCCGCGGACCCCACCTGGCACAGCCCAGGGGCCCAAGAAGTCTTGGTGGAACGACTCAATGCGCGAGTGATAGCAGAGGGGACGAGGAGAGAGGCCTGGCCTGCACGTCGGCTCGCACACCCTTGGGCTCAGTTTCCCACTCTGGATAATGACCTGGGTTGGATTAGAGGACCTGCCTTGCGGCTGGGGCAGTACAGGATCTGAATAATCTGCTCAGAGCTACGCCCCAGGCCATGGGGCGTGACCAGGCCCAGGCCCTCGAGTCGCAGGTCTGACCACTCTCCCAAAGAACACCTTGGGTCACCCCTGGCCCGGGCTCAGGGACCCAGGACTAACTCAGTAAGGATCCATGGTACATCAGGGATAGGGATGGCAGGGGACCCCCAGGGTCACGCGGCAGTCACACCCAAGGCCAGGGAAGGGACCCCAGCCTCTGGCCCAGCAGTGCTGGTCACAGCCTGGCACCATGGCGGGAAGAGCCCTGGGCAGCACGGCGGGGAGGAGCCAGGCTTCCGGCCTGGCAGGAAGGGGGAGCAACAGCTGGGGGTCAGGAAGAGAGGTCCGGAGGACCGGGAGGGGACCTGACCCTGGTGTGGCGAGGGAGCTGGAAGTCACTGCTTTCTGTCTGCACCAAGCACCCCAGTCCAGCCCTGGCAGGACCGCCTGGCCCCATGTAAGAAGCGGGACCTGAGCTGGAAGCCAGACCCCACCCCCGAGTCCTAACCCACACCTCTTCCCCGCCCCCAAGGCCTCCTTACCCCTTTGCCGTAGGGGTACGTGAGCCAGCCGAGCTCCCCTTTGGCTTCTGCGAGGTCCAACAGGACGACTGCAGGAGAAACAAGAGGGCATGGTGAGTGTGACAAAGACCATGGCAGGAGCGGTGACCGCACCTCCCCCAGGATCCCAAGGCCTCGACCTGAGAAGGAATAGGGGTCAGGCACGCAGCAGGCTGGGGTCAGAACTGGGCTTCCTGTCTCCCAGGTCACACCGCCCTCTTTCCAGTCCCCAGCTGGACAGAGAAGGACAGGGACTCAGCCCAGCAGGAGAAGAGCAGCTGGGCAGAGCTGGGGTGGCCACCACCCCACCGCTTCCTTGGACAAGACCCTCATGGGACTTCGTGTGCACACACACAAACACACACACACACAGAGGCTTCAGCTTTGGGGACTCTAGGTTGGGAACACTGGTGTCTACGCCTGTCACATACCGCAGCATGAAACACTCACCCCACTCAGGCCACACAATACTACACACAGGTATGTGTACCTGTGTCTCCTGGTGCTCGGAAGAGGGCACTGCTAACAGGGGGGAACAGGTGGGGAGGTGCCTGGAACCCACATTCCCACCACAACGCCACAGTGCAGGCGGAGGAAAGGTCTGAGCCCGTAGTGGCCCCTCGTAGGTACACACAGTGGGCGAGGTCTCTTCCCTGGGAAAGTCGTCCCACTGCCCCAGCCAGGAGCACCTGGGGGACCGGAGATGAAAAACCTTATGGGGGGCTTTCTAGGCTAAGAGAGACCAAGTGCCAGGACCATGCTGTTCCCTGAGGCAGTTGGAGCCGGGCAGAGGGACCCACTGCTGGGGGCTTCCCTAGCTGGCACTGCCAGGTGTCTCCCATGGGTCCACTGGCTGCTCTGCCAGGCTCAACGGCTGAAGCCAAGATGGTGTTCCTCTCCCATTTCCAAGTAATGCCCAGATGGGGTCACTAAGCACCACTGCTTTGGAGAGCAAGGATATTGGGGAAATTGAGGCTTAGAATCCATGAGCTTAGAGTCTAAAGTTCATCCAGCCTGCAGGTAAAGCCCTTGGGTAGGATGAAACCAAGCAATCACTTTCTTGGTGCCCTGGAGCCTGAGGGTCCAGCCTGAAGAAGCCACTATCCCCAGGCCAGAGCCTGGGAGTGGTGGTCTACAGGGCAACTGAGGCAGGCTGGGAGCAGAGGTGACAGGTTTGGAGACGCCGAACGGAAGGGGTCGGGGACCCTGAAGGTCGTCTTAAAAAACCTTTCCAGGCCAGGAGTGGCTGCATACACCGATTCCAGCACTGCAGGAGGCTGAGGCAGGATGGTTGACAAGTTGGGAGTCCCTCCTGGACCACATAGCAAGGGCTTATTTCAGAATTTAAAAAAAATGTTTTATAAAAGGGCTGGGGATGCGCTCAGGGGTGAAGTTCTCCTGGGGTTTGATCCCCAGTACTTAAAGAAAGACACTTTGTAAGGCTGGGTGTGCAGCCTAAGAGTACAGCGTGTGCTCAGCATGTGTGGAGCCCTGAACCAACAAAAATAATAATAATAAAACGGAAAGCCCTGTCCTGAGGTTAGACAGCCTCCTCCCCACAGTGAGGACCTGGTTTAAGGAGCTACCACCCGAGCCGCTGACCTCAGCCAAACCTCTCTAGGAAGGGTCCACAGCCAGACAGGGAAGAGGAAATCCGATGTGGCACTAGGCCCTACGCCTAGGCTGTGGGGACTGGGGAGAGTGGCTGGTGGGGTGGGCTGGGGATTTGTTCGGACTTGCCCAGGGCCCCGGCTCGGAAAGCCCTGCAACCCCACTGGCAAGTAGAAATGTTCCAGCTACACAGGAAGGAATCCAGGGGTTCCTGACCCCAGCTGGGTGGGGAGGACAACAGTGAGTGTGTGCTCCTCACAGCCCCACGCACACACGCGCACATGTGAGCACACACACATGCACACGTGCATACGTCCGACAAGGTTGAAGTCTGTCCCTCCCAGCTTCCGGGCTCTGAAGGGTTAGCCTGGCACGGCAGGTCCCTCCACCCTGCAGCCAGGGCGTCTCAGAGGTATCACAGGGCTCCATCTGGAAAGAAAGGAGCCTCACACAGGAAGGAGCCTCCCCAGGGGCTTCCAGCCACAGCCCCCTCCCGAGGAAATTCCCTAGAACCAACCAGCAGGAACAGGGGCCCAGTCTGTCCGCCCCAGCCTGACTCTCTGGAGCTTGCGGCGCCAGCTCCCCGGCTCTGGCTTCCCTGGAAGCAGGTAGTCCGGGAGCCCCTCAGTCTCTCAAAGGCTTTCTAGGCCGGGGATTTAGATCAGTGGTTCTGCCACCTGCTTTGCAAGCACAAGGGCACAAGGACATGAGTTCGATCCCTGGGACCAAAAAAAAAAAAGGCTTTTCTAGAGGGTGGCCTAGTTGGTGGGGGGGGGTCCCCTTGCTTTCCAGGGTCAGGAAAAGCCTTCCTCTTCCTGAGATCCCACTGTAAATGTCACCCTTGTGATCCACACTGCTTTATAGCATTTTCACAAATGCAGTGCAACCCACCCCTCACCTCCTCCTCCCTGCACCCCACCCGTTTTTACTGAGACCAGCTCACACCTGAGAAAGGGGGCGGCAGGCGACCAGGGCAGGAAAGCAGGCCTGGCCTTTGCAGAATCAAGAGCCCGGACTCCCAGGCCTCCTGGGCGCTCCTCAGCCCCCTTCTGACCCCCGGGTCCACGCTGGGACTCGCTACACGGCTTCCCAGTAAAAGCCACCACAAAACGAACCCCAAGGTCAGGATCCCTTGACTGCGGCGGCCCAGGAAGCAAGTGTTCTGTGCTCCCTCAGTTTCCCCACTTGTAAAAGGCAAAATGTACGAGGAACTAACAGGTTCCACTAGGGTTTCCAGATGCAAGTGAAGGGGCAAGAAAGAGAGACATAAGAGGAGCAGCCAGGGTCACAGCGGAGAGGGGACATGTGCCCTCGTATCTGCGCCGCCCCCCAGCACATCCAGCCTGAATCCCAGAGAAATGAAACCAGCAGCTGCCAGGGGAGCCAAGGCCCTGGCTCCCCCACCCCCCAGAGGTGCAGCATCCTAGGGAGCCCCTCAAGGGGACTCTCCGAGCCTGAGCAAAAAACGTCCTGGCCCAGTACAATCTGCACCCCTTCCTCCTCCACCGAATGGGAGGGTGGGGAAATAGGAGAGTCACGGAGGCTGGGGAGCACTGCACAGCGAGGCATTCGACCGGGAAGCTCCCAGCTGGGAGCTGGGGGCTGGGGCCCAGCAGCAAAGCAGCCCAGCAGCCTAATCCCCCCACCCCGGCAGCTCGGGAGAGAGGCCTGTAGTGATTCCAGCTGTCTCCCCTCCTCTCCAACCACAGCTCCCCAGGAAGGGGGAGGACCAGAAGCTGGGGTAGGGGGGCTTGCAGAAATCCCTGCCAGGCAGCTCCTCTGCTACCAGAGTCCCATTGGGACCAGGGGCCCTGCAACCGGTTCTCAACCTCGACACAAAACCTCCAAACCCAGAAAAAGAAGTCCAGGCTCACGGGGCCCAGGTTTCCTTCACTTCCTCCTGGCAGAGCCTGGGAAAGCAGTGTGCAGCCCAAGCCAGCAGCAAGAACAACTTCTTGCTGGGGGAGCCTGAAGCCAGCTGGCTGGACAGGAAAGTCCTTCGCTGGGGAGAAGGGGGTGGCGCGCAGGGGCCCCCATTCGCTGTGCAACCCCGGCCCAGGGACAACGCCCCTACCCGCACTCTGCTCTGACATGGGCAAGTCTGCTGCGGTCCCTCACCCAGCGCAGCCCAGGGAACGCTGGGGTGGGGTGGGTGAATCAGCCTCCCACCCCGGGGTGTCCTGGCTCCTTGGTGGCCCTGAGGTGACGACTCCACACCTCACTAGACCGCGCCCCCACCTGCTGCATTGCCTCCTTCTGAGTCACCCCTTGCTCAGAAATCTTGACTTTGGGACTTCCTGTCCTCACTCGCGGCCCCTAACTTGCGCCCGAGTTCGGGAGGGCAGCTTCAAAAGGAGGAAAGGCGCGCGTGGCAAGGACTGACCTCAACCTCTCCCGTGCTCACTCCGGGTCTGGAGGCAAGTGGGGTGTGGAGCAACCTCAGGGAGCAGGAGCTTCGGCCGAGGGCTCCCCACTTTCCGAGGAACCCCTCCCCACAAAGAGGGGCCTCCACAAAAATGCGTTCTCCGCTAAATCGGGGTGAGTGAAGCGAACTCGGGTCACGAAGAAGCTGATCCCACCCCGGGACGCCCCTTTCTCCAGAGGACCCTGCGCTCCGGAAGCCGCTGCCCGCGCCGTATCCCCTTTGCTGTGGCCTCCGAGCCCCGTGCGCCGCAGCCTCCGTCCCTGTGGCCCCTAGGATCCCGGTGCGAGTCCCAGGCTCTTCCCTGTAGCGCTGT